GGATGGGGAAATGTTGGCAGTTTTCTCAAAAAATGCTTGAATTCAAGAAGTTTTAGATTTGCGTGGTTTTTTTGAGTTGCAAAATCCACTTGAACATCACGCTGCTTTTTTCGAAGTTTCTCAAGAACCATTCGAGCCACAGAGGCAAAATGAACAAGAACGCTCATTTGTACATCATTCTAGAGAGAAATAAATGGCCCTTTTAGAAAGTGAACCATGGTTGGGCAATTGTTGGCAGTTTGCTAAAAAAACGCTTGAATTCAATAAGTTTTAGATTTGCGTGGTTTTTTTTTTAGTTGCAAAATCCACTTGAACATGACGCTGCTTTTTTCGAAGTTTCTCAAGAACCATTCGAGCCAGAGAATTCGTTTTGGCATCGTTGGATCGAGAATTGAAAACTCGATTCAGTCGTAACGTGAGTGAGGAAATTCGAATAGTTTTAGCCCAGAAAGCGAAATTTGAATATCAGACACTTAGGTGCAAGATTATACCAAAATTCCATCCCATTTTTGCTCATTTCTCGGAGAATCCGCCCTTGCTTTCAAGATAACAATATTCTTGATTCATTTGCCGACTTGCATCTATATTTAGACGGGGAATTCCAACTCAAGTCTTGTATTTGTTTGATAAACAAGGCAAATGCATGCCCAAAGACTGTTTCGAAACCTGATAAGCACCATTGTGGGATTGGCAATGTGAAGCCCCGTAAGGTCATCAAATGTAAAGTCCAGTGTGTGCGCCTGGGGTATAAAAGGCCGAGGAAACCGGCGTAATCATCAGTCGACCAATTGAGCGCATTTTCACAGTAAGTCTCCCCTAATATAATTAAATGTGTGTGCGTTAAAGCCAAATTTTCCAGATGAAGCTCTACCTGGTAATCTTTATGGTTAGTGTCATGTGGGGCTTCGCATCACTGCAGCCGCTCGAAGTGCGCCCAGAGACTTTAGTTCGCCTGCGGCGATTCACCGACAGGAACCAGTACAACGGCCCAAACAATCCGCAGCAAAAGAAGCCTGAATGGGAAGTCAAGCCGGAGTTGAGCAGGGACCAAAGGGGTAACACCAAGGGGCAGGTCACCGTGGAAAACCATGGCCCAAATCATGATGTTGAAGCCGGTTGGGGGCAGAACTTGGGAGGGCCGGATAAGCATTCGGGAACGTGGCATGTTGGCGGAAATGTTCGCTGGTAGTCTTTCATATTAAAAAAACGTCTATTTTCAATTGCTTTTGTGTTAATTTTTACTCCAAGAAGAAGTTTTGCCGTGGTCCTTGATGGTCAACCCACTAGGTTTCAAATCGTCTCTTAGACCATCGCACAGCTTTAATAGCGTTTGGTTCTTCTCCTGCAAGCCTACAGCTCTAACGTCTTGGCGGAAGTTCACCAGCTTATCGATAAGCTCTACAGAGTCCTGCGCTTGATGAGCGTTTCTTGCCTCATCCAACTCAATGCCGAACAGACTGAGACTATCGCGAACCAGATTGTTTAAAGCCAAAACATACTGCAAATCACCCCCACTGGCACTTTGGGAGGCTGCTGAATGCAACATAGAGTTGACGGTGGAAGCCACGCGATCCAAAGCCTGTATCACTTGGGGCGTGTTGAAGTCGTCGCAAAGCGCTGCATGGATGTCTTTAGTGGATTTCCCAAGCAGCTCGCTCAACACGTCGTTGTTCAAAACTGGCTTCAGAAGGCCCCTTTTCAGCTCCGAAAAACTCACACAAAGATTCCGAACAGCCGCCAAGGCACTAGCGGATGTTTCAATCAGTTCGACGCTGTACTCCACTGGGTTGGAGTAATGGGACTTTGCACAGGCAAACCTGAAAACTTCCGGCTTGGTCTCTTCCAGCATCTCCTGAATGGAAATTGTGTTCTTCAAACTCTTGGACATTTTAGCCGCGTTTTTAAGGTGCAAATGCCCAGTGTGAATCCAGTAGTTCACCCACTGGGGCCTTCCATGGAAAGCGCAGCTTTGCATTTCTTCGTTCTCGTGATGCGGGAATCTCAAGTCCAATCCGCCTGCATGCACATCGATAGCAGCCCCAAACACATGGGAGGCCAATGAGGAGCATTCTATATGCCAACCAGGCCGGCCTTTGCCCCAGGGGCTATCAAAGCAGGGCTCCAGCGGGGATTTGACCGCTTTCCACAAGGCAAAATCCGCTTGCCGGCGTTTGTGGGGATTTGAACTATCCGGAGGAGAGTCGCTAATGTTCTGCAGTCTGCCTGGAGGATGGCAACTTTGTGAGGTGTCGAAGTAAACCGAACTGTCGCCCCCTGTGTATGCCGCCCCATCAGCTTGGAGCTTTTCAATAAACTGTATGATCAAGGGGATGTTTTCGGTTACTCTCAACACTATGTCTGGTTGGGGGATACTCAGCGCACTCAAATCCGCCCAGAAGTCCTTCTCAAATTTCCTAGAAACCTCGCTAAAATCGGTTCGCAACTCTTGGGCCCTTTTGATGATTTTATCGTCTATGTCGGTAATGTTCATGCAGGTGACCACATTCAGAGCAAAGTGCCGCCTTAATATCCTCTGGATTATGTCCAGTTTCACATAGCAGCTGGCATGGCCCAAGTGAGCGGCATCATAAACAGTGGGGCCGCATGTATACCAGGTCACCACATCTTTATTTCTCACTATAAATGGCTCATTTCTCCTTGTCACGCAATTATAGATATTTATGGCCGTATCGTGCCCTTTGGGCACTCTCCAGATGCTTTTGTGAGTGGAGAGAACTCTTTTTAAAATTAACTTTGGTTTATTGGTAAACATCGCGTGAGTTTGAGTGATGAGGTTATGTTAGGCACGCTGGAGGTGATGTGGCATTGCTGCAAAACGGGAACTTTAGTGGACCTCGTCTAGAGCCTGCAAAGGGTTTTGTCTGGAAGCTTTAAGGCAATTTCATCATCAGCCAACCTAGTTGGTAATTGCTGAAAAAGCTTTTCAAATATTTAATTCGAATTGACTTGAACCAGGATGAAGGAAGCAGCGAAAGATAACTGCCCAAAGCAATGACGGTGTCATGTTTATGTCACGAAAAAATCAAAATACAAAAGTATTTTTTGAATAAATGTGCTGATTTCCTGGGGACCAAATCAGCCGATTAGTATGTTCGAATCAGACGACGATGACTTCACATTATCCCCAAGGTAAATTGGCTCGCCCAGCTCACGCGCTGTTTTTGCCCTAAAAGCACTACATTTTTCAGTTCTAAACTCTCGGAAATGTTTAACGCCCCAGCCGGAGCGGATACAACGCTCAGCTACAAAGCGCCGAAGCAACCGAGGCCGCCAGAGGCCCCCAAGTCTAATGAACCCGCTGCAAAAATCGAGACTCCAACTGGCCCCCCATCTTCATCATCTTCAGTTATTCTTGCAACTCCCGTAATTTTATGGAAATTGTAGGTACCTAAGATTGCTCCTAGAAGATAGAGAATACAGGCGATAATTGGATTTTAGAGAGAACGGCAGCAATATTCCAATGGGCAATTACATGCTGGCCATAATTGGCCACCAGGCAAAGGGGGTGTTCGAGATAATCCTTTATCAAAAAACCACAATAATCCTAGTGCGCGAAATACTGGGAAGTTCAGTGGTTTTCTATAAATATCCCAAGCAGTTTGTGGCGTTTTACGATAGAGTCCAGCAGCTGTGGAACATGAACTTTGATAAGAAAGACAACCTGGACAATTTCTTGCAACATGCAACTAAATACAATTCCAGGATAGTTGATAAGGCTGAAGAAAGTCATCTTGGGGAGTCGAAGAACGCGAAAAATTCCCCGAATGTTGAGGCTGAAGCAACTGAACCAAGCTCGAAGCAGAAACTCCTTTCTAAAATAACCAATTACGGTCAGCAGGTTTTGCCGAAAGCCCCACAAAGAACCAACCGCAGCGATTTGTCGGATTCCGAAACGGAATCCAGCAGCAGCGAGCGGAATCTGGCTAAGCCGGCGATCGCCCCTAGAAAGTTAAAAAAAGCCCCAACAAACTGCGGAAAGTCTGTGGCTTCGCAACACGAGAACGCTCTTAGTTTAACCTCGCAGAACCTGGCAAATAACAATTATTTCCTGCCAACAACTCAACTGGTTCCTAATACTCACAGTAGAACGGTCTACTCAACTCCTTTGCCTGACTACAGCTTGAGCAACTTTATAGTGGCTCAAAATGCCGAATTGAAAGCCAACCTAGCGGAAATCAGCGCCAAGTTGAACAGCTTGACGTGTTCAGGCAACGATAATGGACCCAATTTAAATGATCAGAGCACGTTGAGGACGAAAATCAAGTGCCAAAGCCTGAAAATCGATAACTTGTCTAGTGATTTGGAGAGATCCAGGACAGATTTGGAGAGAACGCAGATGAGGCTGGATGAAGCACTGGAGGAATTGGCCAAAGCCTCAATGTATCGGGCTCAAGTTGACTTGGCAGAGCTGCAGGAAAAAGCCCTTGAGGTGGAAAACTTAAAGGAACAGCTGGCAAGGAAGGATGAGCAACTAGCAACCTGCCGGTCGAAGATTGAAGAATTGGAGCTGGCTAATCAAGGGAGTGAGCAAAGGCGGGGCGAGCTCTCAAGAGAATGTTCTGAGTTAAAGGAGAGTCTTGATGAAAGAGCTAGGGAAGTGGAGGAGCTGAAAAGGCAATATGTGGGAAATGTGTCTTTGAAAAAAGGGCAAGTGGAAGTTGCAGTAAAGCAAGCTTTGAGCGACGCGTTTGAGAATGTCATGGAGGAAGTTGGGAGAAACGAAAGTTACGACTTCAATAGCATGCATGGCGCCCTGTCGAAAAACTTGAAGAAAACCGGCTTCAACCTAATAAACTTCTTGCTGCAGGATCCAAGCGCAAGCGGACCTTCTTAAGACCACCGGTATTTGAATTTTGCATCAATATTTGTGATAGTTAGTTAAGATGGAACTGTTTACAATCGCATATAAGCTTAAAACGATGGTAAAAATCAGACTAAAACAGTTTAATTCTCTTTAATAATTAAAAAAATCATCACAAATTGAACTCTTGTCTGCACCTAAAACCGGATACATCCAATCGATTGCAAACAGTCGAATAATTGAAGCCATTAGCGGCAAACAAGGCACAATTGGAACCACCCAAGTTCGTCGAGTAGAGATTGTCTGGACCGTACTGAGTGTACGAACACTTCCAGGGCATCACATATTGCAGCTCGGCAGCCGGATGACTGGGGGAGTTTTGATAGGAAAATCCCTTTTCGGCAGCGAGTCCATCGGGTTTAAGCGGGATTCCCACCGGAGATGCGGATTTTGCGGCCAGTTTCGAATTGGGGGAATTTTGCAGGCTGAGACTTCGCTCGTTTCTGCGAAACTTTGCCCTCCTGTTTTGAAACCATACCTGAAATCATTGTTGAATCAGGGAAAATTCAAAATCCTGCTGGGATGTTTCAAAATCCTGCTTACTTGCACTCTGGCCTCGCTCAGATTCACTTTCGAGGCCAAGTCCTCTCTGACGAAAGCGTCCGGGTAGTGGGTTTTTTCGAAAACTTTCTCCAGAGCGCCCAGTTGAGCGGTTGTAAACGTGGTTCGGTTTCTTCGCGGTTTTTTGCTGGATTTTTCGTCCGCCCCGTATCCTAAAGCAACAAACAATTGAAATCAACTGAAGGTGCGAGCCACTCGCGCTTGTGAAACGTTCGGTAAAAAATATTTTCCACGAAGGCCTAAAAGTGCATTTTTAAGCTCTATCGAAACTCTTGATTTGCTGTTAGTTGACAAAACCATTTCCGAAATAGAGCACCTATTCAAAACAATTCGACCGACAAATTACACACATGTTCCCGTAGAAAAAACACATCAAAGGCGCCATTCAACAACGAAAACGAGAAAAAAGGCCACAAGACAGACATGCAGACAAATTATTTAATCTGAACCGATCTGTCTTGCGGCTTGTTGTTTTGAAATCTTCTTTCCGTCGCTTTTCGGCAATTTATAAAGCGGTGGAAAATCGACAACACTCTAAGTCAAAGCACTTTTTGACGAATGGTCGCAAGTGTTGCGGTTGAGGAGGCGCAAAAGTGCGCAATTATCGTAAACGGTTGAATTTACGACTTGAGCGAGGCCTTTGATATCTGGAAATTAATGGCAGCGCCCGTTAGTTGGCGCGATTGAAACAAAACGATACAAAGTTTACTCGCCAAATGCATTTCAATTGTTTAAAGCGACGTGTTAACTCGATTTTTAATTGCCGAATAAATCAAACCCACTTAACAACAGATAGAGCAGATATGAGGAACAGCTGCATATTTAAATTTCTTTAAAATTAAGGCCTGTTAAGCTTTTACCTTCAGAGTCGATATCAGACTCGCGTCTCTTTTGGCCCAACCTCAGCAGGCTGCTAACCGAAAAATGTCTTGCATTGTTTTGAGGAGAGAAACTGCGGTTTCCATTGTACACAGTGGCGTCGGCATTGTAATCGACTGTCGTCGTGTGTTGCCCCTCAAAATTGAACATTTCGATCCACGTCTTTGTGCTTCAATCGCCTAAACTAAACCCATTATTCCAGCCGAACTGCTCCACCAATTAAGGGCTCTTTAATGTGCTTTCACATAGTCAGGAGTGAATCTGAAAAAGTGGTTCAAAACCGTAGAATTCCAAATATTTTTGCTTATTATTCATCAAATTCCATTCCTAAAGATATTAGAGTTTCAGTTTATATGCACCGTTTTTCGCGCCGAACAACTTCATCATTTTGCATTTGACCAAAGTTCCATCGGCAACTGCTTGAAAAGCTCAAAAATCATCAATGTTTCCCGCAAGGTTTGAACCATAGAGTAAGTAACATATTTTATTATTATTTTACTTTCTCTATGGTTTGAACAGTGAAGATTTTTCGTGCTTCAAGACAGTCGCCCGTTTGGAATTTGGTCCGGACGTTTCGCTAGCATGCAGG